AACCTACATAGGCTTCCGTGAAGTGTTCCCGTCAGTTTGCGCTATCATTATCATCTACCATAGTTTATTCTGGATTTTTAGTAAACGTTTAAATTGACGGTGAATACGGCAGAAGTACATACTAAACAGTCCAAAAGTAAAGAAACAAAGCATTTCCCAAGGTGGGATTCGAACCCAGAATCAATGGTTTAGGAGTCCGATGCTTTATCAATTCGGCTACTGGGCAGTTATGGTTATACACCATGGATTCAGATGTACGTGATGTATAATGTTAATCTGTACGCCATCTATTGATGAATAGAATTTTTATAAATTTTTAACTTTTTAACGTTTTTGAAATTTTGTTTCAGCCAGAACCACTTCCCAGACGTGCTGATTCTGAAAATATATTCAGTTTTCCTCTAGGCTGCGGAGTTCTCTAGTTATGCGCGAACACACAAATTCGGCTGAACAACTATATATATAGATGTATATATACATATACATAGTAAGGGAGAGAGAGAGAGATAGATCTATCTTGATAGGAGAAATACAAGATTTTGCATGTAACATCTGCACTATTTTACTTCACAGTTTGCGCATCCTGTATTAAACGAGATGCAGGCAGCCGTAGAGAAGAATGTGAAAGCTCTGGAAAACCTACAAGAGTAAGTCTTCATGTGCATATTCTCGCAATTAAATACAGATCTTTTCAAAGCGAACCTGCTGAAAATCCAAACATTTATATCGTAGTATAGTGTCACCGTAGCAAGCAATCCAAGCAGTAATGCTCTGCGGGTTTTATTGGTTTTCTTTAGGCATGTGAAACCAGAGGTTGATGAATGGCACAAGAAAGAAGCTCGATCACACATCATCTCTGGCCCTCTACCGGGAAGGTATACAATGTAATAAATGCATTGCTTAGTATGTTAAATCCATTAATCGCTTATCATAAAACCATATCTTAGATATTAGTCTCTGTGATGAGACTTTCTAGAATCTTCACACACATTCTTACTGGACGACGTGTGTTGCTTTGTTTTCAGCGGTCAGGCAGTAGTAGAGGTTATAGAGAAACTAGAACAAATAATTCTGTACGATGAAGACGAGGATGAAGACGACAGTTCTAGGCAAAGGTACGGAACAAAAAAGCCTGTCGTAGTTTGACGTAAACACATCGTACATATAAAACTACGTTTGTTATTTGAGAAAATGGAGTTTAGTCAGTGGAGAGGAATAGCGGCTATCTGAACAGATCATTTGTAAGACCCTACTCTCTCAGCTTTAATTAATTAATTATCAAATTTAAATTACATGTCATAATATATTATTATATCTTATCGTTATTTATTTATATTTATTTTATCGTGCATTAGTAGCAGTAGTATTTTGCCTAGCGTAGTCGTAGCTTTTACGGTCTTATTTTCTGCGACAGGGAAACCCCATTACAAGTACTCGATGAGGATGGTAAAATGGCCGTCCTGTCTCACAGCGTGGCAGCCTACATGTCCACGCTGGACCACGGTCACCTCAGACGCCTGACCACACGCATAGTCTCCGACACGACCATCTGGCTGGCCAAGTTTTTCAGGTGAGTTAGTTCGCGTCGTTATTCGTTGCATGTTTCACGTCGTAAAATCAAGCCTATTTCTTGAACTTTCTTTGAAGTTTGAAAATTTTCTTAAAGAGATCTCCCTTCTGCCTTCTTCTTGCTCTTTCTCTTCTTCTTTTTCTTCTTTCTTCTTCTTATCGCTCTTCTTATCGCTCTTTCTGCCTCTCTCTCCCTCTCTTTCTCTCTCTCCTCTCTCTCTCTCTCTCTCTCTCTCTCTCTCTCTTTCTCTCTTTCTCTCTCTCTCTCTCTCTCTCTCTCTCTCTCTCTCTCTCTCCCTTTCGCCCTCTCTCTCCCTCTCTCTTTCTCTCTCTCTACTTCTGCTGCTTCGCCTACAGTGACCACTGTATGGAGGTTTGTGTGTGCATGTACGTCTCTATACGCAGGTTCTTCGGCAGTTCGGCGTTCTTCCACGAGGACTACAGGGAGGGGCTGCTGCGCGTCTGCCGTCTCGTCCTCCACCGCAGGTACCCCAAGTACGCGAGCGAGGGATTCGAGGCTCTCTACCGGAGACCCCCCGTCTTGTACCTCAGTGCGGCCGCTAGAGGAGGCATGGCCCAGTTCCTCTGTGCCCAGGTACGAACGCGAGGGCTAAGGGGGAGGGAGGGAAGGAGGGATGGAGGGAGGGATTCGAGGCACTCTACAGGAGACCCCCCGTCTTGTACCTCAGTGCGGCTGCTAGAGGAGGCATGGCCCAGTTCCTCTGCGCCCAGGTACAGACGTGAGGGCTGAGGGGGAAGGAGGGAGGGAGGGAAGGAGGTATGAACGCGAGAGCTGAGGGTGAGGGAAGGATGGAGGGACATACAGGGATGAGATTCTTCCGCGGATCCGCGGAAATCCGCGGATTTGACAGTCCCAGGGGTCGATTTTGTGAAACGTCTAAATTCGTTGAGAAAATTGGGAGGGGTGTAACAATGTAACAATTTAAATTATATACCCTCAACAGCACCTGACTGTAGACTGTAGAGTGGAGACAGTAGGCTGACAGCGAAGTATACAGTGTATCTGTTTTTGCGTACCAGAAAAGAAAATCCTCGTTCACAGGCTGCAGTAGAGGGGCAAACATTTGAGGTAGCTGATCACGTAACGACCATGCCTGGCCTGGGGGCCGGGTTTACATGTTGCTGTGTGCATGTTGTGTGCATGACTATGCACTGATTGTTCCATTCGCATTGTGTTTTTTTCATTCAAATCTCGTCGCAGCAAGGCAGCTTATGTCTGAGTAAAACAATGCAATTAAGCGACGGGTGGAAACAGAAAAAGATCATTATGTCTAGACATTTTATAAAAAATTTGCCCTATTTTCAGCCCCCTGATTTCCTATTATAGTTTGTTTGTTCCTTTTGACAACTTGAAAAGGTGATTCAAGAGTCTCCTATAATGTGTTCAGAATAGCTTAGAATGCACCAAATTGCACCATTCTTTTAAAAAAATTCTGGGGGAGCATGCCCCCGGACCCCCTAGCATGGCGATGACCTACGGTCCTCGCATTGCTTGCTCCTCTGTTTGCTAAATAAAATTTCAGCTGAAAATTAAATTATCCAATCTCATCCCTGGACATAGGATAGGAGGGAGGGAGGGAAGGATGGAGAGAGGGTAGGAGGAAGGGAGGGAGAGACAGATGGAAGGAGGGAGGGAAGGAGGAAGAGAGGAATGGAAGGAAGGAAGGAGGGCGTGTACCTTAGAAGGGTGGGCAACTGCTCAAAGCATCGTAGATAGGAATAGCATCTTAAGTCATTTTCATAGGTTGTGGAGTCGAGTGCTCTGCAAAATGTAATGACACTTTGGAATTATGGCAGTCGTAACGTCGTACTTGAATTATCTTTTTAATATGCTTTGTTAATAGTTCTAGTGGTATAATTCCAATAATTCAGCGAGAATCGCTGTCATTCTTAAATATGTTTGTTGTGTGGTGACATTTGATTCTCTGATTCAAGATTAATGTATATGTATTTGCAGCTGGGACTGCCTTCGTCTTGTGTGTCAACTGTACCCTGTGGGGTAGAAACTTGGAACCGATATAAAATGGTGAGTGGAATAGCTAATAATCTATAAATACTGTGATTTTTTTCCACAAATTTACAATACTTACGTTGGAAGACATCTTTAAGTGGATATCTTGACGCGAGTGCACATCGTCGTGGCGACTGTATCCGTGTCTTCTGCAGGACAAGGTAAAGCTTGAAAAGTTGATACGTGACGACATCGCAGCGGGAAGGTTACCTGTCCTCGCCGTGGCAAATGCTGGTGAGATATCTGACAGTAATCTCTCTTCCACTAAAAGTTGCCCCCTTGCTTTGTGAGCTGCTCTGACGTAGATAAGTCTCAAGTGGATTTCAGTATATACTACACTATATACTATAGAATATATTATACTATACAAAGTACCGTAGTTGTATATACTATACAAAGCAAAGAAAAAGTGAAGAGTACCTATATTTCTGTCATTTAAACTATCGAGGGATACTGTTGCTCCTAAAACGATGACCCGTTCGTTTACAATCGACTCTGACGTTTCGTGGCATCGTTACGCAACAACGCATCGTGCAGTGGCGCCCCCTGTGGTGTAATTACAACCGTAACAAGAAGTCGCAATCACGTTTGTGAATGTCGACAGGTACGCCGGTCGTCGGACAGGTCGACGACATAGAGGGCGTTCAGGACCTGTGCAAGACGCACGACATTTGGCTTCACGTTGAAGGTCACGGCCTTGCCAGCCTCGTTCTCACGGACACGCCGAACAACCCCGCGGTACGTACCGACGCTCCGTACAGATGAAGTTGTGTACAAAAAAGTGTGACTTATAGTATACACGAGTATATACGGTATATCTAAACAATGCCATTCACAAGCTATAGCATATATAAGCAATACTATTAACGCTTTGTACGACATGTAAGCAATACCATTCACAGTCTACCCACTGTATTTAACCGAAGCTGCTCACCTCTCGATTTCGATTATTCGATTACAATACTATTTGTATTTGATACTGCATGAAGGCAACGCCATTCACACTCTACACAGCGTATTTAGCCGCTCACCTCTCGATCTCTCTCCGCCTCTGTTCTCTCGCAGGCTTCCAAGATGGCAGACAGCATGACGTTGACGCCCGGCACGTGGCTGGGCGTGCCCGCGCTGCCCTACGTGAGTCTGTACGCGGCGTCGGAGCCCGCCCTCGTCCACGCCGCGGGCCTCGCAGCATTCAACAGCCACCTGCGTCTCAGCTGCCTGCCGCTGTGGCTCTGCCTGCAGAAGCTTGGCAGTGAGGGCGTGTGCGGACGCGTCGGACACGCCTGCGAACTGGTGCGTGGCCCCGTCTCATCTCGCCGCCATCTTTGCTCCGCCGGGAATGATCCCTGGCGGCGGCGGCGGCGGAGTTTTCGTGCTCACGTTTTCTCGCTAGGGGTTTTTGGCATTTTCGGAGGTTTCTTGCTCGCGTTTTCTCGCTCAGAGTTCTTTGGGGGGTTTTCGGAGAATTCTTGCTTGCGTTTGACCGTGTTATGCTGCGCAGCGGTGGCAGCGGCTTTCGCAGTTCCTAAATGATGGTCTGTCGCATGATTTTTAACCGGTAGCGGGTGGCAAATGCAAAGCGCTTTGCAACAACAAATAGAGAGGATATACTGTCATTACGAATGTCTTGCTTGTCAACCCGTACTATTCCTTACTCAATGCGTGAGTGGTCGTTAGCGATAACGTGTCTAAATTTCTTAGCAACCATTCCAATTAAAATTTTGATTTCCTTTTTACATTTACCGTTTTCCTATTCTTATGCCAATTTTTTACCCGTTTTTGTCGTGTTTTTTCTCTCTCTTGTTTTCTGGATTGCCGACAGTCGTTTCTGCTTGCGTGTCATTTGCGACGTTACCCCGTCGTTTTTTTCCACAGAGTGTGGTGCTGCACGAGGAACTTGGCAAGTGTCCAGCTGTCAAGTTGATCTCCAAGGACATGAGCCGGGACGGACAGCGGTCAAAGCCGGAACTCTCCCCCGGCTCTAAATCTCCGCTCATCAACTGCAGCGTGAGCGCGCTGGTACGGCGTCGCGTTAATTACCTAATTAATTAATTAATTAATTAGCTAATTAACTATTTAACTAATTAACTAATTAATTAGCCCCGATTAATTAAGCCATGTAGGATTTTCAATCGGCGTCGCGTAGAGATTTTCGTATAGGGGAGGATGTTGGGTACGTTCTTAAATGATTAATTCAGTTTTACAATAGCAATTCAATTTGTTCACTTTTAATCCTTTAGGATAACCATCTCACTAGCAACGATAGAGGTAATTAAAAAGTCAATTAGTGAGTAACTAAGAGGTAAATTAAAAGTTAGAAATTAAAAGGTAAAACCTCGGGGAGAGTGTTTGTTCATATGAAGCGTTTGGCTGTTGTACAACAGCTACTCTGCTTTGTAGAGGGAGGGGGCAGCCGGAGTGAAATGCCAATTGCATGTTGAAAGATGCCATGTGTAGTCACGAATTATGCATGCTCGTTATAAAGTGTGCGGTGTTTCCTTACTGCAGGTGTTTCAACAACATGTAGTATTGATCACATAGCCTTTGTGAGCGAAATTGATTTATTGTATAAGAGGCGAGATATTGTATATATAATTTATTTGCGTGTGTGTATGTGTGTGCGTGCTAGCGTGCATGCATGTGTGTGCATGTGCGTGCGTGCGTGCTAGTGTGTGTGCGTGTGTGTGCATGTGCGTGCGTGCGTGCTAGCATGCATGCATGTGTGTGCATGTGCGTGCGTGCGTGCTAGCGTGCGTTCGTGTGTGTGCATGTGCGTGC